TGAAATATTATTTTCCATTTAGTTAAAATATTTAACTTAAAAGTTATTGTGTAAGCAATTTGGTTCTAAGTAATTTAAAGTATACATTGTTTGCAAACATAATCTGAACAAACTTGGAGTAACCATGGCGTAGATTTTTTCAACAAAATAGGTAACCTAATATTAGAGATTCCATTTTCCCGAACCAGTTCCATCGGCGACATCTCTGAATACCCGACTGTTGTCTGGGCCTCCGGTTTGATGGCATCTTCTTGGCTCAGCTCATTTGTTGGTGATTTGATCTTTTGCCTCTTCTCGGCTTCTTCTCCCCTCGAAAAACCCCTACTCCGGCGATCTCGACCAGAGTTGGCTTCAATGATTTCTATAAAAGTAGAGGAAAACCCGAGCCGAGCCATTCCAGACCAAGAATGAACATAATCATCATTATGATAATTATCATTCGGGCCGACTTTGGAGTATATGTATGCGTGTGCCTTCATTAACACACACTTCCAGCCCTTTGCCACATGTGCTGCTCATTTGCTTTGAAAACTATTAGCTGATGCTGCTGCTGTGCTGTTGCTGTTGCTTTTGCTGCTGCTGCTGATGTTGCTGCTGTGGCTGCAACATATGGTCGGTTGGGCATTTAAATAGTTTAATGATCTGTGCTCTGTGACTGGGCTGTTGGTGTTGTAGTTGTTGTTGTTGTTGTCGTGGCAGCAGAAGCAGCATCAGCAACAGCACACCAGCAACAGCAACAGCACAGCAGCAACATCAAGCGATTCCCGTTTCAATTTCAGTTTTCTCATTCGCGTTTTGTTCCCTCCGAGTTGCCTGCAGTCATTAGCGTTTCCTGTGTAGGTTTTTCATCTGTCGCTCTTCGCATTTCATTTATCTACTCATGTGTGTCTGCCCTCGGAGCGTGTGTATCCGCACATATATTTGGCAGGGGTTCACAAAACATATTTTTAAAACCGGAGTTCGAAAGGGAGATTTTAGATTCAAAATAAATCACATACATAAATTGTTTATTTTTAAAAACTTTGAGATGAACTGCATTAAACTTGACACAAAACCAGAATAAGATCAAAAAACCAAATATAACAAAAACATTTTTTTACACATACTTAAATTAAAGCACGGTTTCCAGACATGATAAAATGAATTGCAATTCGTACTTTTCGTGTCGTCATTGCTGACAGTTTCAAAAATGCGTGAATAAACACGAGATCAGCACTAAAATAAATTAACACAAAGTAGGCTTAAAAAAAGACCATTAAAGAGTCTAGAAAAATGTGAAGTTTGTTTTCATTTTTAGTGCCAAGATTACATTTGTTTTACTTGTAGCATTTTTGTATATTTTCTGAGCTGATATCTTAACTATTAAACCAAAAAAGACTATTAAATACCTTCAATACCTCATCTAAATCAAGCTGAAATTACCTGTTCCTTATTTACTTTTCACTGAGAAATGCCTATTAAAAATAAAAAAGTGTTCAAAGCCGCAATTAATTGTTCTTTATTTCGTGTTTACTTCTGCCTGCTGCGTTTTGTGAATAATTTAATTGGGTCATGATGGCATTACCCGGTGGGCAATAACTTTTATTAATTCATTTGACAATTGGAACGGTAAACGTAGCCGTTGATAAGGCAAATATCGGACTCTCGTTCGCCAGAAACATTATTCGCCGGCTTATTAACCAGAATGGCAGCCCCATCGAAAAAAAACCTGTTTGCATTTGATTTTCGCCAGAGTTTATTTTTATATAAAAACGCTTCGCTTGAGGCTGTTGTTGTTGTTGGGCTGTCTGTCTGCCTTAAATAATTTTATTTAAATCGCAACTGGCAGTGACACTTGTTTGTGCAAACAGCCAAACAAACAAACAAACAAACGCAAACCAACAAAGGCGAATCTCTTCGAATCGTTTGAATGAATTAGCCGGGGCGACAAAGACCTTCAGCCCCCCGTCGTATTTTCACTTATTAATGAAAACGTTTCAAATGCCACATTTCACATTTCGTGCGCCATTGAATCACACTCTCTGCCAGCGAAATAATTTATTTTTTATTCGGGCCCCACTGCGATCCAAGGTCAAAGTTTGCCCAACACTAAAAAAAAAAAGGAAAACAGCGAGGTGAAAGAATTTTAGCGCAATTAAAAATAAGCGAGTGAACGCAAAAAAAAAAGCAACAAAATTGTTTCGAAATTACGTACTCTATTGTTGTGTTCTATCTGCTGTGCCCAATTAATTTTAAGAATGAAATCGAAATCTTGGCATTACTTTCGGGTGTGCGTCAAACGTTGAATTATGTTTATTTATTTTTTATTGAGCAATTTGAATATGTTTTTTATGGCCGCATTTACACCTTTTAATTGGAATTTTACTGGCTCAAATTTATGGATAATTAAGAACTCATCTTCGATTTGAAACACATTCACTGTATGACTACAACTAACATCAAAGCCTTTGTCCCCAGAATTCATTCTTAAAAAAGCTTATAAATAGTTTACTACCTAGAATTTCGTATATCAAAGAGCGGAAAAATCGAAATGACGCTTACAGTTTTCCACACCCCCTCCCCTCGCCCCACCAGAAAAGTCGATTGCCAAATACATAAAGATGAGGGACCTGTGCCGCGATTTTCTTATTGGCAATCAGTGGCGATCTGCCACTGCCTCTGCCCCAAGAAACCCCACGACGTGTGTTTTCGTTGATTTTCTATTTTGTTTTTCCCAATTGTGATCATTCTCGAAAATTGTTTTTGAGTACCGGACATGACGTCAATAAGTGGGCGTTTGTGTTAATTTGTATACCCCCCGAAAAGCACACACTCAACCCACTCGCATACCAATGTATATGTGCATATATGTGTACTCTCTGTATTTATTTCTTTTGGGGCGTAGAAATTTTCTTTGGCGCTAAAAACCGTTTTTATGCGGCACAATAATAATAATAATAATTCGTTGGGCTTTTTATCGCCAGATATAGGCGCATATATACAGAAGTGGGCAAGAGAATAGTGGTAAATGTAAAATATTTGGAAATATTATTTAAAAGATTTTAACTTAAATTGTAGGATATTCTTTAAATAAAATTATTAATATTGTATAGTTACTGGCAAGTTAGCTTTATTATTTTGCACACAACTGTGTGTTTGGCTGGCTCTTTTATTAATTTCAATGGAACAGAGTCGCCATTTATTAATTTCCTGTATTTCCTTATTTGCCGGAGGGGCCACCTCGTGCCTTGCCTTTAATTATGTGTAAACAAATATTTATCTAAACGCGACGTCTGGCGGGCTTTTCGATCTTCCCGGCCGATCGCATTACTCATACGCCGCGTTGACCAGATTAACTGCTGCATCGCTATAAAACCGAAAGAACATGCCATAAAAATACAGTTGTTTCGCCATAAAAATGCTTTATTTCGCCTGGGCCGCAATCGCAATAGCGATCGTGCCATAATTAACATGATCATCATCAACGCCGAAATATGTACCCAGTCAAAGTTCAATTAGCATCAGTTTTTTTCTTTATTCGCTCGTCTCGATTCTTCGCTCTCGATTGGCATGTACATTCATATGAATATGTATATGCAAATCGGGATCGAGATTCCCATTCTCATTCCGAATCCAAATCCAAATCGCTAATTTCTTTTCGATATGCCAAATCGAACAATTATTTTTATGGCCCTACGTAATACGGAGTGGAGCGGAAATGGCGGAAAGCGAGGGGCGAATGCTGAATGGAATTTTGAATTTCGCGGACGAATCGCATCCGATAGGCGGGGTGAAAGCAATTAAGGCAGATAATGGGGGTTAGCGGTGTCGAGGGCGGCAGATTCGTTTGTATTTGGAGCCCCAAAAAATCCCGAGTAGTACTACTACCCGTATCCAGCTTAAATAGCAATTTGATCTTTAACATTTGGCAGTAGGGCCAAGCCCAAGTTTCCCCAGAAACTACGAGCCACAATCTCCGAAAAAACATCATGTCCCGCCGATTCGAGTGAACCCGAAAGCATTATGAACCGAAATAATAATAATCATAAAGCCAGTGTGTTGTTGCCCTATGATGTTTACATATAAAAAACGAACGAAGAAAACGCCGTCTTTATCTGTACGAATATAAATATGACGGGGCGACCTTCTCGCACTTCGGTTTCCTAGCTGCGGAATTAATTACGAACATTAAACCGTCGACGGAGAAGAGTTCACTTCTTCTGGCCATTTAATCCAAACAAAAGCATCTGGCACTTTGGACCCGAGGGGCACGCCTCGTGCTGGACTATTTCCACTATTTTCCACTATTTCTGGGCTCTTATTTATTTTGCGTTTATCCATAAGCACGGCAAACCCATCTACGTGCCATTTTTGTGACTGCGGAAAACTGCAAAATCGATTCATGGCACTCTTGCACTTTTTTTTGGGTGGCCCATAAATAAACGTGGATTTCTTTTAGGCGTTGTTTAAACAGTAAATCTTTTAAAAATAGACAAGATATGGATCACTTTTAATCCACAATCTTGGAAGGGTGCTACTGCTTCTAGAAATATAATAATCCTTATTCCGTAGGGAAAAGCCTTACTGCAACACATGATTTAGTTTCTAACAATATATTTGCATAACATATTTATTGGCTATTTTATTTTGAAACAAAATACCAATGAAAAGGAAATACAACCTAGAAAATAATTATCAATTGGTCCTATCTTTAATGCAATCTATTGAAATTTATCTTAATAATTAGGATACTACTCATTATTTTTAGAAAATAACTAAAGTGTTTTACCTGGGGTGTCATAGAAATCTCTTCCAACCAAATATGTATAAAAATTCGTGTTTATTAAATGATACCATAGTAAAAAGTACATCATCTACATTTAAAAGGTTATAAAAAGTAAGAATAAAATTAATACTTATAGACTGCCCTTCCAAAGATCTTTCTAAAATGAAATAATATTTCCGTTAAAGGAAATCCTTTAAGCCATACTAATTCCCTTTGTTTTTCCTCCCCTTTGCAGAAAGCAATCGCTGTCCGAATCTGCGAAAGGATGAAGGCAGACCGAGCTGAGTCCGGGCGCAGCAACTACGATCGGCGGCATTGAGGATCTCGGATCCGGATCTGGATTCGGATCTCGGGGCGGAGGAGCTGTCTCGATCTCGAGGTGGAGCGAGGAGCAGAGGCGCCGGAGGAGTGGAGGAGTGCAGCTGGGGAGGAGTCCTGGTTACAACACTACATGGATCGCAGAAATGGCGGCGATCCCTTGGCGCCACCCCGGCCCCCGAAGTTATTACCCCGAGTGCATCGACCAAGGGCGCCGGAGCCGACATTGAGTGGCGTCGATCAAGGAGTGGGATTGGGATTGGGAAACGGACTGGGACTGGGAGTAACTGCATCATCCGCGACACCAGCAGCACCACCAACAATCCATAACAACAATTCACAGCAGCAACTTAGTATTACGGCGAGCAACAACAACAACAACAACAACAATACGATATCGATTATACCCGCATCGGCGGACTTCGACGACTACCAGATCCACCACCTGACCTTCCTGCCGCAGCGACCCAGCAGTTTGAGCCGGAACAGCAGCACGGCCTCCTCGACGACGGCCACGGGGATCAGCTCGGGATCGGTGTCCGGCTCCAGTTCGAGCTTCACCCGACGCCGACCGCCGGCACCAGTGCCGCTGCTAGGTGGCAACATCAGCAACAGCAGTAGCAGCAACATCAACAGCAACAGCAACAGCAACAGCAGCAACACCAACAACATAAACATCAACAACAACAACTTCCTTAGTCATTTCCAAAGCGCTGAGCCGGCGAGCCACGCCCTGGGCCAGCCGCCCGCCTCCCCCGTCACGCTGGCGCAACCGCGACCCGAGTCCGAAAGGCTAACCAACGAGTATGTGGACACGCCGCTGCAACATGCGACGCGCTCGCAACATCCGGCTGGCCAGCAGGATAATGGCCAGACGACCACCCACCACCTGCTGCTGCTGCCCCAGCGGAATCAGTATCTGCTGCAGCAGTTGCAGCATCAGCAGCAGCAGTTGCAGTTGCAGCAGCAACACCAGCAGCAGCAACAGCAACAGCAGCAGCAGCAACACCAGCAACATGCGCGACTGGCGACGACGACGCAGGCGACGTCCCTCGGAAGCGACCACACCGATGGCTTACTACATTCGCACCTGCACACTAGCACTAAACCACCACCCGCCTCGAAGCAGCCGGCAGTGCCCAGACTCGGAATGGGTCTGGGATTGGGAATGGGCCTGGGTCTGAGCCAGCCCATCATCACCAAGCAGCCGGCGGTGAGCACGCAAAAGGAGCACATGCATGCGCTGGAGGAGCTGCTGCAGCCGGGCGGAGCAGGTGGAACTGGAGGACCCCTCGTGATGGCCGGAGATCCCAGTCGGCAGAGCAGCCTACTATGTCCGCGATGTGGACGTTGCCGCTGTGACCAGTGCCAGAGCCCCAGGCCGCTGCCACAGACGTGGGTGTGCAACAAGACGTGCCTGTGCAGCGCCGAGTCGGTCATCGACTATGCCTCCTGTTTGTGCTGCGCCAAGGCTTTGTTCTACCACTGTGCCCGGGACAATGACCTGGATTGCGACGATGGCAATGGCACGCCCTGCGTGGACAATCCCTGCTCCTGCGGCCCCTACAAGCGGACGCAGCGATGGGGCTGGCTGGGTGCACTGTCCATCTTCCTGCCCTGCCTGTGGTTCTACTGGCCCATGCGGGGCTGCATGAAGCTGTGCGAGAAGTGCTACGGCAGGTTTGCAGGGCAGGGGTTGCCGCTGCCAGGGCATCGTGGGAGGAGGAGAGGGGCGGAGGAGGAGGAGGAGGAGCGGGAGGGATCGGGTCCACCAGCAGCATGCTGCCCATCGTACCGCTGGCCATCAATGGCGGTGGCGGCGGACTGGGCGGCGGGGTGAGCCTCGCGGGGGGAGCGACGGAGGGCGGACTAAGCCAGGGCAATGGCAAGGCCATGGAACACGGATGCAGTGCCGCCAGGAGCATCCTGCGCAAGGGCGACCTCACCCCGGAGAAGCGGCTCCTCGACTCCAGTCCCGACTACTAGGCTGGGTCTTCTTTTTGTGCCCGGTTTTTCCTCGAGATGAAAACCCCCAAGCACAAAAGGAAACCCAGGCGAAGTCGTGAACATATACCCCCATATATATATATATACGGAAAATATTTAATATATGATTTAAAAAAGGATACATAAAAAAAGAGGAAAGATAGAAAGATAGAAAGAAAGAAAGAAAGAAGGGAAAATTAAATAACCAAAGACTGCAAACAGATAATTATTAATTATTAGAAATGTTATTTAAAAAATAATTTTTGCTTAAAACAAAACGAGTGGCGAAAGTGTGGAAAGATGAGAAACTGACGAAAAACGAATGCGATTAGGAATTATTTTTCGAACGATTTTTTGCATTATTTGATTTTGTTTTTACTTGCTTAATTAACTCTTCAGTTCAATGTTCAATTTCTAAGTCAAATTCTTACTTTAATAAACATAAATAGTTGTATGCAAATAATTCCAATGAATTTTCCACGAATGTAAAGTAAACGGGCGAAAGTTTTTTTATTATTATTTTCATATACAAAACTGAACAATTTGGGGCAAGCGTAACAAAACACCAGATTATATATACCTATATACACACACGGGAGAACTTTTAGAGAAATATTCAATGGCGTAAATTAGTCAAATATTATATATATACCAAGTCCAGTCCATTTTTGATGTTGTAGAAAGAACAGAAACAGAAAATTTAAAGAAAAAACACAAAAAGAATACGAAAACCGAAAATTACACAAGAAATATTGTAGAACTTTACGAATTTAAATCCTAAAATTGATATGTGTGTGTGTATGTGTGTTGAGGGCGACGAACTTTTCGATAAATTTAGAGCATCCTATAGATCAGTCTAAATGTGCTTAGATATCGTTATAGATGTACTGCAAACCAAAAGTCAGTTAGTTTACTCTACCAACTACGGAGTCGGAGGAAATCTTAGGAGCGAATATATGGGATTACGAAATCGGTTGCTTATGAACGTATTTTATAGTGAAGCAGCCCCAAAAATGTGAGCAAGATTGTATATACAAGTATAATGAAATTTTTAAGCAAAGTGCGAGATACAAAATGCAAGCAAATTCCAAATAATAGAAAAACAAAAGAAAAAAACAAAGCAAAACTTAAGTGTAACGATAAATCCACATCTAAATGCAGCAAAAATACAAAACAAACAACAAACATTTTTTGTATAGAATATCCATATGAAATATGACAACAAAAACAGTGGCAAATTAGCAACTTAAAACAAATTTATACACGTAAAAGCAAGAAGCAAGCGAAAAAAGTAAATTAAAGATTAATGTTAAACACTAAAAACAAATTACTATATGCTATATATGTAATCTGTATATGTACTATATATAACTATATATATACGCCTAGATATACACAACCAGAAAAACTATGCTTAAAAACTCCTAACTTCTAAAAAAAACGCAACAAAAAACGAAAAAAGAAAAACCCCAAAAAACAAACTAAAAGCTGGAAAAATCCTTAAAGCCTAGCCGTTAATGAAAATTCAAGAAGCGCAGACCTACAAGCAAAAAACAGAAAAATTATACACGCATAAAGATAACGATAAAGATAAACATTAATATTTAAGGCACTCTATACATACAAAAAAGCTATGCATAATGAATATTTATTTTATTTGTACATTTCATTATAATAAAATAAACTGAGTAGAAAGGAGGAGAGGCGAGGAGTAGGACGAGTAGGCGGGGTTTTGAGTGCGAAACCCTGGAGAACCAGAAGAACTTTATGTAATGTTTTTAGAATGTATGTTCCGTTAAAAACTACAAAATAAAAAAAAACCATATAATACTAAAAAAATATAACAATTTGGACGTGTTTTATTTGGGTTTTTATTACTTATTTGCAACAAAAGGAACAAAAGGAACAAATATTTGTAAATATGTTAAAGAGTCTTTTATATTTCCTTCGTTTTTCTTTTGTTAGAAAAATGAAAAGTTTTATAAACACCTGCATTTAAACTTTACAGATTGCAAGGATATTTAAAAAAAATACTTTTTGTGGAAAACTGAGGATGCAAAAAGTGAAAACCTGAACCGAATTGCCCTACAATCATATGATACTACGGACAGTTGTATTTTCATGCCTATAATCTGTCATCCCTTTTCTCCCCTGATCACTTGTATCTGTGTGTGTGTTATGTGTGTGTTGGTGTGCCAAATGGCTATGGCAAACCTAAAGCAGCTGTTTCCGGTATTTGATTGATAGTGAACTGGCAGTTTGTTTATCTCGAGCGCACTCGGACCGACCGGAGGCCCCGAGAACAGAACGCGATTCTCGTTTGGCTTCGGATTGGGGCTGCTCACACAGATACTCACGCACACTATGGCACACGCGTACACACACACACTCACACACACACATGGCCATCCAGCGGCAAACGAACGACGATGCTTCTGCTGCATTTTGCGGATGCTATTTGGGGCCGCCGTCGTCGCACTTATTTTTAAATTACTAAAAACTGAAAAAATAAAGAGAAAAAAGCGGAAAAAAGAACAGAATGTTGCTGCCGTCGCCGATGTGTTGCTGCTGTGCTGTTGCTGTTGGTGTTGCTGTTGCTGTTGGTGTTGCTGTTGCTGCTGCACAAACATTGCGGGCGGCGGCATCTCACCGACAACCTACGATGAAAATTTACAACGGAAGGCGCGCATCAAATGTTGCAGCCACATAAACACTCGAACACACACACTGGCCCCCGTACTTAATTTAAATTTAACTGCAAATATTTCACTTGCACTGGAGGGAGGTCGGAAAAATATTTCCAGTTTTCTTCTAAGTTTTCCACCCTTTTGTTTTTATCGGCAGTCCACAGCTGATCGAGCTGAGCCCAAGATTCTTGATCAAATTAACCCATTTTGGAAGTATAACTAACTAGGATAACTTTTCATGGAATTAAGCATATATAGAAATCAAATATATTATTTGAGTAATTAAAACTTTAATGCACATTTTAAATAAAACAATAATTTATTGGTTTAGTTTCGTTTATTTGAACAAATAGCTTTTAAAAATGTACAAAACCTATATTTTCTAATTTTTCTAAAAAATATTTTTAGGTTTTTCTATGAATAAACAGAATTAGAGTTTGCAGAGCAGCTTACTACGTTTTTAAACATATAAAAATATCAACAGCAAATTTTAAGTTCTTAATACATTCATTGAGTAACCAAGAACAATGACTTTAATCTAAAGAGGAAATAATTTTGTAGCCTCGTATAAAATGGGTTAACTTAGCACGTGCAAAAATTGTGTCAGCTGCGCGAATTTTGCTTTGTTTGCCCGTTTGTTAATTAATGCAAAGTGCAGTAACCGTTTTGCATAATTGAAGGCAGCGACTGACTGCCCATTGCCCATTGCAGATTGCCCATTGGGGCATTTCATTATTCAATCATAATTCGCGCGCTCAAACGCAAATTACAAACAGTCGGTCTATATGCAATGGTGTGGGTATGGATGGCTGTGGTGTGTGGGGCATGGTGTGTGTGGTGGGGTGTGTGGGGTGCGGTGAGGGGCTGGTGATAATGATAACCCAGCGGATCGACCGGGCTTGTCGGGGTCATCCGTCAAAAAGAGGAGCACAAACAAATGGGAAGAGGCACAAGAAAAAGAGAATGAAACCGAAAGAAATGAGAGCAAATAAAACATGACATTTTCAGTGCCTGTAATCAGTGGCGAGGGGGATTTGGATTCCGATTCCGATTCGGATTCGGATCGAGACTATCCCCCGATAAGCCTTGCTGCACGAGACCTGCCAATTCGCTCGAAACTCGCTCCGATTGACACACTTTGGGTAAGTTCACAGCAAAAAAAAATTATTTTTCGATTGGTAATTGGGCTTTAAATATTAAGATAAACAATTCATATCTATAAGAATTTTCTAATGAAAATTTAATTATTTAGACATTTCAAACTATCTGTTCCATCATCTGAAATATAATAACAGTTCCAATGCATAATGCATATACAAATAGCTTTTAAGAAAATAAGGTAAATAAAAACATTCTTTCACTATTCGTATCTAATGGAATTTTCTAATGAAAATTTTATTATTTAGACGTTTTTATCTTCGTTCCAACATCTGAAATATAATAATGGTTCCGATGCATAATGCATATATAGGTAAATACAAAATTTTGTTTCACATTGTTCTTATTTGAAACTATAATTGATTTTTAAAAATAAGTTGATTTATTATCATTGCAAAAAAAAATGGATAAAATGAACTAAGGTGAATATGATAACATGTTTCTGTGGCAAGATCTCTTCATAGTCGAATTTTCTGATGCAAATTTCTCTTCCTTTATTTGGATAGGATTTGTTCTTTGTGTAGCGAATGAATGAAGTAGCAGCACTGAACTCGAACTCGAATACTCGCCGGCAGACGCAAGATGCAGTGCCTCTGATTGAAGTGTGCTATTTTTAACGAGCGAGCTGATTGCGTGCAATGCAAGTCTGCCAATTCGAGTAACTCCCTCCCAAAGACCCCCTCCCCCCCTCCTATTTTGAACCACCCCCTCTCCATTTCGGGGCTCCTCACTGACAGTTCCTCTAATGAATGAAGTTGATAAGGGAGCACTGCGAACCCAATGGGAAATGCACTGGCCGGAATGAGCCATCGCTATCTCCCATTGATCATTAGATTTCCGTATAAACTATTATTATGCACGCCGGCATTTCGACTTTCCTTCCCTTTTCCCCTTTCCCCTTCCCCATTCCCCTCCTTCCATTCATATCGATATCGCCATTCGGGCGAATTCCTTTGAAGATTATCTCATTCACTGCACGCAATGAATATACTTTCGATCAGTTCTGCGATATCTCTGTGGGACATGTGAAAATGTGAGTGCTCAGTCGCTAATTAGTAGGATCATTTTTGGTTCTCTCAGATAATTATTAAGTATCATTACTTACTTAGCTTAAAATATGTTTTTGATGGCCAAAATCCAGAAAAAAACAGCTAATTTTCTCAGTTTTTTAATCAAAACCCTTGGCAATAGTGGTCGTATCTTGGAATTTCATACCTCGTTGAATTCGTTACAAAATTTCCAATCGAATGGTATACTCAGCTAAAATTTTATTTTGGCCCAATTTTGGAAAAAAATCAAGTGTTACCCCTTATCAAAAATGCGAAAATCGGTCAAAAAATTAAATTTACCAAATCCACCTGGAATTGATTGTATAGGTTGTCAGCTGCACAAAACAGTCATTCTTTTGGCTGTGCGGCCTATTTCGGCAAAAATACAACAAAAAACGTTAAAAAAATTTGTCTTAAATATATTTTTTGATGATCAAAATCCGGAAAAAAACCACTTGATTTTTTAGTTTTTTAACCAAAACCTTTGGAAATAATGGTCAGATCTTGGAATGTCATACCTCGTTGAATTCGTTACAAAATTTCCAATCGAATGGTATACTCAGTTCAAAATTTTTATTTTGGCCCAATTTTGGCAAAAAATCAAGTGTTACCCCTTATCAAAAATGCGAAAATCGGTCAAAAAATGAAATTTACCAAATCCACCTGGAATTGATTGTATAGGTTGTCAGCTGCACAAAACAGTCATTCTTTTGGCTCTGCGGCCCATTTTGGCAAAAATACAACAAAAAACGTTAAAAAAATGTGTCTTAAATATATTTTTTGATGATCAAAATCCGGAAAAAAAACCACTTGATTTTTTAGTTTTTTAAGCAAAACCTTTGGAAATAATGGTCAGATCTTGGAATGTCAGACCTCGTTGAATTCGTTACAAAATTTCCAATCGATTGGTATTCTCAGCTAAAAAATTTTATTTTGGCCCAATTTTGGCAAAAAATCAAGTGTTACCCCTTATCAAAAATGTGAAAATCGGTCAAAAAATGAAATTTACCAAATCCTCCTGGAATCGATTTTGTAGGATGATAGCTACACAAAACAGTCATTCTTTTGGCTGTGCGTCTTATTTTGGCAAAGCTACAACAAAAAACCCTTAAAAAATGTGTGTTTAAATATATGTTTTTAATAGCCAAAATCCGGAAAAAATATTCTTGATTTTTCGGTTTTTTGATCAACACCCTTGGAAATAATTGTCAGATCTTGGAATGTCATACCTCGTTGGATTCAGATAAAACTCCGATTTAGATAAAACTCAAGTTATTTATTTATTTTTGGGACAAAAACAAATTTTTGTTATATAATATATTATTATTGTTAAGATAAAATGCTCTTAAACTTTATTTCTGAAATCATCTTCCAAGAGTCTTAGATTAATAATCAATAAATAGTAATCACAGATGAATAAAATAATGTTTGTAAATTTTTAGAAAAAGTCATAATGTAACCCGTTATAAAAAATGTAACCCCCAAATAAAAAAATCGGTTTTACTGTGGGTAGGGACTTATTTATTGAAGAATTTGTTATCTTCTATTTACATTTCTTAAGAATAATTATTAGTTAATATGTTACACATAGTTGTATGAATAATTTGGGTCTTACTCTACATTGTTCTACTACATTATTCCTTAATGATAGTTTAAAAAGTCCTTTTAAATTAAAAAATAATCCTTGTAGAGGAAAATTGATATTCTCCGCCAGCTAATGAGTTTGTCAGCCAACCTGCCAATTGCATTTTGAAATTTCTAATTTCCCGCCGTGGTGATGGGCGATGTGCCCCTGTGGAACCTCCATTGGGGCTCCTCCTGGCCTCCATCCGCCCATCTGGCTGTCACTCACATCTGCTCTGGAAATCTGTCACTGGCTGAAGGTGAGTCTGTTTAATGGCCGGAGGAGAATCGCTGATACGACTGCCGGCGGAGCTGCTCTAATGAGCA